ATCGTGTACGCTATTCTCGGGCGTTTAGTCGCCCATATGAAGGTTGTGAATATTTGTTTGAGCTTGGAGAAAAAGGAGGGGGGGATCGCAATGGGGAGTGTTTGTAGGAGATATAACACCTTTGGCAATGTATTCATCTTCAATATATTGATCCTACATAGCCAGCTAAAGACGGGTCTCTGCCAGTTTGTTAGATCTTTTGATATCTCGGTGAGTAGTGGCATGAAGTTTAGATCGTATGCGTGTTTCAGGTGTCTGGGTAGATGGACCCCAAGGTAGGTGATGGACCTTCGAGCCCATGCAAAAGGGTACGTGGTTTTAAGTGTGTTTTGTGTTTGTCTGTCTAGTTGGAGGGGTAGGATTTCACTCTTTGTGTAATTGACCTTAAAGTTGGAGAGCTTGGCATATGTCGTCAGTTCGGCTATCAGTGGAGGCAGGGAGGTGAGCGGGTCGGTGATGGAAAATAGTAGGTCATCTGCAAACGCAGATACCTTGAATTCTTGTTGGTGGACTTTAAAGCCATGGATGGTGTTGTGGTCCCGTATTCCCTGTAGGAAGGGTTCTAGGGTGAGAATAAAGAGTAAGGGGGAGAGAGGGCAACCCTGTCTCGTGCCGTTCTTTATGTGTACCGGACCTGACAGTTGGCCGTTTATTCTCAATTTTGCCGTTGGGTGAGAGTATATGGCTCCCATCCATTGCATCCAGTTTGGACCAAAGCCCATGGCCTGGAGAGTGGTAGTGAGCATTGTCCAGTCTACTCTATCAAATGCTTTTTCAGCATCTATAGATAGTAGTAGGCTTTGCCCTTTTGTGGTTCGGGAGAGATGGATGAGGTTCAGTACTTTAGTTGTGTTATGTTTGGCCTCTCGTTTAGGGACAAAACCGGATTGATCAGGGTGGATTAAGGTGTGTAGTATAGGTTGTAGACGCATGGCTAGGATTTTCGTACAAATCTTCAAGTCTACATTTATGAGCGAGATTGGGCGGTAGCTGCCGCACTCTTTGGGGTCTTTACCGGGTTTTGGCAGCAAAGTGATATGGGCCTCCAACGCTGATGCCGGGAGTGGGGCTGGATGGGTAAGAGCATTAAATGCCCGTAGATATGGTTCAGCCAAGAGTGTAGCGAATTGTTTGTAGTATTTGGCTGTGAGGCCGTCGGGGCCAGGGCTTTTGCCTAGTGGTGTTGATTTTATCGCGCAATTTAATTCTTCAGTGGTAATGGGCATGTCTATGGACTGTGCCACGGCGTCAGGGATTTTATTTTTTAGCCTGGTTGATAGGTATCTTGTTATGTCGTTTATATCCGGAGGTGACTCCCTGAGGTTGTAAAGTTTGGTATAGAAGTGTTGGAAGGCTTTCATGATGTCTGGGAGGGTATGTGATATAGTGCCCGTTTGTGTTTTGATTTTGGAGATGTACGTGTTTTGCCTGGACTGTCGTAGGGCATTGGCTAGTAGTTTGCCACATTTACCTCCCTGTGTATAGTAGGAGTGCCTGGTATGGAGGAGCTTTTTCTTGGCCTGGTGGTGCAGTAGTTGTGTCAGTTCTGTGCGTTTGGTTATGAGGGTGTTATAGGTTGATAGGGAACTATCCCGGGTATGAGTATGTTCAAGGACTCTGATTTCTCGTGTGAGCGTGTCTATTTTCTGTGTTCTCCTTTTTTTGAGAGTGGCCGCTATTGCTAGGAATTCTCCCCTTATGACGCATTTGTGCGCTTCCCAAGTGGTCATGGGGGAGATGGTTGGTAGCGTGTTTTCTTGGAAGTAGTTGGTAAGTGCAGTTGTCACACGAGTTGTGATTGTGGGGTCATTGAGGAGGAAATCGTTAAGTTTCCAATGAAAAGACGTCAGTGGGAGCGTGGGGATCTGTATGACTAGGGATAGAGGTGCATGGTCTGACCAGGTAATTGGACCGTAGGAGCAGGAGATGGCCAGATGCAAGTGATCTTGGGGAAGGAACATCATGTCTATCCTGGAGTATGAGCGTGAGGCTGAGGAGTAGTCTCTATCTTGTGGGTGTGTGGTTCTCCAGCAGTCAAATAGTCTAGCTTGGTCAAGGAGGTGTGTTATCTGTTTCCTTGCAGCATTTTGGTATTGTGTGGAGTGGGAGGTCGTGTCGAGGGCAGAGTCCAAGGACATATTCAGGTCACCACCCATGATCAACATGCCTTCCATAAAGGATTCGATTATATTAAGATACTTCTTGAGGGCTTTGCCTTGGTGTCGGTTGGGTAGGTATAGGTTAGCAAATGTGAGGACGGTCTGGCCTATCTGTCCCTTTACCAAGAGTAGCCTGCCCCCATCATCAGTTTTGTGAGCCTTGTAGGTGAAAGGAGTGTGTGCTGCAAAGAGTATGGCTACCCCCCTGGCCTTGGCGTGACTATAGTTACTAAAGAATCCTGTTGGGTATGTCCTGCTCTTGAGAGTGGGCGCTCTGTCCTTCTTAAAGTGAGTTTCCTGTAGGAAGACCACGTTAGCTCGTAGTTTGTGCATCTCTGTAAGAGCTATAGATCTTTTCTCGGGCGTATTAAGGCCTTTAACATTGAGTGTGACTAATTGTATGGTAGCCATCAGGTCTGGATACGTTTGTAGGTGTGCCAATGAGAGTGTCTGTGGGTGAGGGGGGGGATGTTTGGATGGGGGGGATTTGGTCACCTGGAGGGAGGAGCAAAAGGGGAAGGAAAGCAAAAGAAAAAGAGAAACAACAAGAGGAGAAAAATATAGAACAATTAACTTATATACAAGCGAAAAATCTATAGATAGATCGGAGTAGAAACTGTCCCCCGAGATTGCTAGGAGGCACCGGTTGAACACCGGGCGTCAGCCAGCAGTCTGAGGGGAGACCTCTGGTGTCGGGCCCAGAGTGGGACGTTGCCACCTGGGACTTTTGTGACACCGTGGTATAGGTCGTGTCGACCTAATACAATGCAAGTCGTCTAGTAATCATACGATAGTATGCAAAGAGAGATGAGGGACGGAGGTGGTCCCGGGCGACTGATGTCAGTCAATGACTCTCGTAGGAGATCAACGGGAGTAAGAGTCATCAACTGTCGTCGCCAGAGCACACACCCGTAAATACATTTCACAACATATCAGTTAGTTAGACATCTTAGATGAGGAGGCTATAAAAACAGTATAAACAGCGTTATTCTAGATAAACTTTTTTTTTTTTTTGTGGGTGATGCGTTAATGATATGTCTAAATTTCTGTTGGTGGGCCACTAAGAAAGATCCCGGTAATGTGCAGCATTTACCTGCCGCCAGCCTAGCCATTGGGTCTGCATAGTGAGAGGGAGAGGTGGAAGCCGTATATCAGGTCTGTATATTTGCCTGTTATGCCGCTGCCGGGGATGGTAAGTGTCGCGGGAAAATAAGCGAGATTACCCTGTTGAGTGTTATTCCTGTTGAGGTCGCGGAAATTGCGACAGCTGGCTGGCGTTATAGGGATTGGCATTTAAGACATTTTCGCTCTGTATCATACCCCAGGGGGGTTCATCCCTTAGCAACATGGGTTTAGCATTATATGGATACGGTCACCTGGTTCTTAAGAGAGTCCTGATAGCCCCAAGTGGAGATGGCTCCGAGGAGCGTTAACAAGTCTCTGGCAGCGTGTTAGAGATGGTCATCTCAGCATGTCCCTTGGTTGTTCGAGTTGGGCTTCCCTTAGCAGCTGGTGTCCCGGAGGTGGCAGCTGCTAGTGGATCATATAGCCTTGGCTGGTAGCAGGTCGTAGTGTGTGCGCAGGGTTGGAATCTTTTCAGTGTAGCGACGGGTCTTGGGTATCTGATCTTTTCTTCTTGGGCGTTTGTTGCCATCGGGGTCTCTGCGGTAGCTGAGGTGGAAGTGGTGTTTGCAGCGGTCCGTACCAGTCCATGATGTGTGGGTCTGTGAGGTTGAGGGCTTGTGTAAAGAGTGGTATGTCCGCATGGGAGTGTATCGTGTGCTGAGTGCCCTTATACGTGACACTCAGTGCCAGTGGGAATCCCCACCTGTATCTTAGGTTTCTGGATCTTAATTGGTCTGTAATTGGTCGCAAAATCCGTCTCGCTTGTAGTGTCAGCCATGAGAGGTCGGGGTAGATGGTTATTGGGGCATCATGAAATAGCATAGGTTGTGAGGTCTGTTTCAGCGTGTGCAGTATATCTTCCCTGCATGTGTGATAGTGAAGCCTGCAAATGACATCTCTAGGCTTGTCAGTCGCTATGCCTCTGGGCTTCAGTGCCCTGTGTGCTCTATCTAGTAGGATGTGATGGTCTCTTGGCTTACCCAGAATTAAGTTGAATAGTTCATTCAGCGTCTGGTAGATATCTTCTTGTTCGTTTTCTGGGAGACCTCTGATCCTTAGATTGTTGCGGCGCCCCCTGTTGTCTAGATCATCCATGGACCTATGGAGCGTGGACAGGTAGGTGTTCTGGTGTTCCACTGCTGCCTGCAGGGAGTTGAGCTGTGTATGCATAGTATCTCTGTCATCTTCCAGGGTGCTCACTCTGTCAGCAACTTGGCGAATTTCAGAGTTAAATGCATCCATTTTGGCTTGGACTGAGGCCTCTAGCTGGGTCAGCATGCCTGCAATGTCCTGTTTGGAGGGCAGATTTCTGAGGATGTCCTTCAGGTCCCCGTCCGTCGGGGGGCCCGAAATTTCCGAGTCTGCTGGGCTGGAGGGGGACATACATAGAGGTGAGGAGTCTGCCGCCATATTGGGGCCTAGTGCGCCCGCATTACTATCCGCCCGGTCGCGGAAATACTTAGTAAAAGCGCTCGATTTACCCGATGGGGTTTTGCTGGAGGCTTGCTGGGAAGATGCCGCTCGTTTTGGGTGACCCATCCTTCGTTTTGTGGCCCGATCTGGTTGGGTGTGTGTCTGGTGCCGCCGGAGCTGATTTAGAACGCGGCCATGCACCAGCTCGGTCGGCTCCGCCCCCCCTTATATTGTGAATTTATGAAAGGAATAAATGTGTTCAATAGATTACCTATAGATACAAAGTGACTTATAAAAGCAGAATCCATTTGCAAAAAAAGTATTTATTTTCAACTGTCTTGAGCATTTCCTCCAGACTTTTCTGACCCAGGCAAGTCATACAATTAGTGGAAAGGAAAAAAAAATAAATCTCATTTGTAACAGTCGAACAATTTTCATAAATACCAGTACTGCCGATTGTACTCAAATTACAGCTATAACAAGGCACCAATTAGGACAGGCAACCTTTGGCACTCTAGATGTTTCGGACTACATCTCTCATGATGCTTTGTCAGCATTATGGGAGATGAAGTCCCCAACATCTGGCGTTCCTATAGTTGCCTGTCAATTAGGGAGTTGAATAGAACATTCCTCCAGTCTGGATTCACAGGGTGAAAAAATATAAACATACAGGCAATTCAATATCTCTGGATTGATATGGATTCATAACTTAGTGAAAAATTGTATCAGATTCAGTTGACAGTTAAAGCTATGGGTCCAAATAAAATCCTAAAGTGAACCTGATGCTCAGGATTTGCAGTCTAAATTATCCGATTACCATGAAGTCTGAAAAAACCTACTCTATCGTGTTTTTCACAATAATAAAAAAAATAAAAATAAAAATTTAAAAAACCTTGCAGTCTATATATTTATAATATTTACATGCAGATCATATATACAACTCAATTGCTTAAGGTCCGTCAAACATTGTGTTGATTAAACACCAGCAAAATACTGAAGATATTCTGCTTTTGGTGCTACAAATTGCTCTGTGTATTCAGTTTTAGAGTTTGCATTGCATCCACATTATTAAATGTAACATTTTTGAAAAACAGTGCTTTCTGATCCCAAAAAATTGTATGTATCATGATAGACATGATCTCCTGGGAATTTTCCTTAATATGGATGGTAAACTGTGAAACATACATTTGAGGAGAAGTAAGTATTGTTCATGTATTTATCATGTATGGCACATAGCGCACATAACATATGAGGAGTCAAACTTTAAAAAAATAAAAATAAAAAAATAATTTTTTATTTTTTTTTAACCATTGCTGTACAAAGTGCTTTAGAAGTGCAGGTGTCATGTAGTATGCCATTGATAAAAAACTGTTCTCTTCAGTGATCACTTTCTAGTAATTCTTCTTCACAGACTGTGCTACACATCCACATCTTCTGATGTTATGTAATTTGAGTCTTTTGAAAGCTGATGCTGTTCTGGAGGCATCAGATATCGAATGTTTTTCCAGAACTTTGTTTTTGGGGAAAGTTTTGCCTCTGTGAATTCTCCTTTCCATCTGACCACACCTTGCTTTTGTTTGATGTATTTGATAGATTCTGGCATGTTTGAGTAATCTGAAATCTTTTCAACTTCAACCAAGATAACCTTAATTTTATTCCGGATAAGAGCATCATACATTGCAATTTGTTGCTCAAAGTCATTCTCCAATCCTTTAGAGGTGTTCCCTAAAACAAGGATAAGTCTTCTACTTTTAGCGATAGCTTCGTCTATGGCATCAACAGTGGCTGCAAAAAAAGAAAGACATATTCAGATTGAAAAAAATAAAAAAAAAATAACCTGACTGTAAGACTGTTCGGCAATTTTATCTTAATATGCATGCTACAGTTACACTATCTTAGAGAATATGTACTAGGAAGACAAGCTAGTAGAAGAACATCTCTCAACATCTAGCCTTTTGACAGTTTAAGAGAACCCAATTATTATAGACACTTAAAGGGACACTATAGTCACCAGAACTACAGCTTAATGTACTTTTTCTGATGAGTATAATCATTCCGTGCCGACATTTTCATGCAAACTGCCTTTTCAGAGAAAGGGCAGTGTTTACATTGCCTCCTAGGGACACCTCCAGTGGCCACTTCTCATATAGCCACTGGAGACGCTTCCTGGGGCAGTGCTGCACAGTAGGCAGCACTGCCTTTCAGCGTCTCCATGCTCTGCATGGAGACCCTGAATTTTCCTCATAGAGATGCATTGAACCAATGCATCTCTATGAGGAGGTACTGACTGGCCAAAACATAATTTATCCCCAACCCCATCCCACCTCCTTGCAGATTTCAGCCAATCCAATGTGTTCAATATGGGAAAGCATTGGATTGGCAAAAAAAAAGTTAATTCTGATGTCATCAAGGAGGCGGATCGGGTGCAGGACAAACAAAGATGAGTTTTACCCCTTCTAAGGTACAGGGGGAGGGCAAGCCACCTAAATTTAACACTATAGGGTCAGGAATACAAGTTTGTTCCTTTAATCCCCCCCCCCTCACTTGTTAGTAGTGCAACTGAAATGAAAAAGTAAAAATAAAAAAAATCACTAAACACTAGAACAGAAGCAAAATAAACAGACTGAATTCTTCAATTGGAGTGTGTGTTATATAAATATATATTACATACACTCTGCCACACAACCTGTTACACACATACTAGAAATGTTGCTTAGGCCACCCTTTTTTTTTTTTTTTGTGCAGAGTTGTACACCCTTTTGAGTGCAGGATAATTGACTTACAAGGGTCTATCAAGAGTGAACCAGTAAATGGCTCCAGGGAAGCTGACTCCATTTGATCTCTGGGGGCATCCTTATATTGGAATAAAGTGGTATGTCATTAATCCTCCCAGCACAATTTCAAAGGGAATCGCCAATTTGATCTGATAAGGGGCCCTCTCTGTGTAACTGATTTTCTATGGCTGGGCTGTCTGGTTACAGTGCTCAAGGGGTCCTGTTATCAGATCAGTGCCAGTAATCCTTTTCGGACGATGACCCTGCATATATGGTCACTGTTACTTTTTTAGTATTATTATTTACATTTTTAAAATGTACTTTATAAGCTAAAAGTTACATGCTCTCTAGGAAACAGAGAATACGCACGGTGGTCTATAGGTTCATGTAATCTTGGGGCAAAGAGTTATCTATCAGGTTCTACTCGTGCTGAATAAGTCTAAATTCCATAGCAGCTTGTTTCAGTTTTGTTATGAAACAATAGTTACATAAAGTGTTTGAAGAACAAATTAACAATGTGACTAAATAGTGGTGGAACACAGGTCTGGGTCCCATCTGTCACTTCTGCAGTTAGGAATTCTATAATAATAGACACTTGCTTGGTAACTCATAATGCTCACCTTGTCCTGGTATATCATCGCGGCCAAATATGAAGAGCCGGTAAGAACATTGCCTCTCCAAAACCTCAGGTAGAACTTTTAATACAAAGACATCCATAGTGAAGGAGCTGGTTCCTTTTGTATCTTTTGGATACATAATATAAGCATCATAGAACTTCCCATCTAAAAGAAAGTATAAATAAATAAAAATGAAAAGGCTGAAGCATGCTTAAAATAATATGTACATTCTCACAATATTTTTTTATTTTGGGAAGCATTATAATCAAGTAAAGGGGGGGGGGGGTCTGGTATGTTTCTTAAATATTTTAATATACACGTTTTGGGAGTCACAACTTGATCACAGTGATTTATGCGTTTAAATTCTAGTATTCCATTAATCAATATTAAATATACCTTTCAGACTTGCTTTTGAGAGACTGACGCTGCGACAAAAAAGAACGACGTCCACCTTGAAAATCTTGAATAGTATTAAAAGGATAATGACGACAAACACCAATGATAGAAAAAATGCAATCAAGAAGCCCTGCAAATTAGGATCTGTAAGCAATAAGAGAAACCACAGTTACACGCAAACATAATAAACTGCTCCTTTAAAGAATGCAGCATAGAAAATTTAAAAAAAAAGTAGTGTCACAGCAAATATCAAATTAAAAAAAATTATTGAGATTCTGCAGCAAGGTAGAGAAAATTGACACTGTTGAACAGCAAAGCAAACCTTTAAACACTACAAGCAGCGTTGTATCTAGCGCGAGGCTGACAAGGCATTTGCTTAAGGCGGCACCAAAAAAAAAAAACATACAACCCCCAATGCCCTGGCAAATGCCTTGCCAGCCTCTTGTCCTGGGGGACCAGGAGCTGGCCACCTTAGGGCCCCCCGAGGCAGGCATGTGCTAATGTTACATGCGGGCGGCGAGGGAGCACTCTCCCCTAATCTTTACCAGCTCAGCTCCCTCGTGCACCTGCAGTGATGCCGTAGCATGACGTCACTCCAGCCCCGACATCACTAAGATCAGAGCTCCCTCGCCACCCGCTTCCCCAGCTCACCTGTCTGCCAGACCTCCCAACCACCCGCAAAGCTGCAGCCAGCCCCACTGGACCAGATTGAAAAATCCACTCCAGCACTCCCAAAGGCTGGATGGATTTAAAATTATTATGTGTGTTAGTGTGTGTGTTAGTGAGTGTTAGTATGTCTTATAGAGTGTGTGTTGGTGTGTGTCTGCTAGTGATGTGTGTGTGTCTGTTAGAGAGTGTGTTTTACTTGGTATGTGTTAGTGACTGTGTGTCTGTCACTGAGTGTATCAGTGTTTGTCAGTGAGTGTGCATGTGAATCGGTTAATGCGTATCTGTCAGTTAGTGTACATGTGTTTCTGTCGGTGACTGTAAGTGTGTGTGAGGAAGTGCACTTCACCATTTGGTCCTGGAGAGGCCTGCTTGCCAGCCTCCTGCCCTGCAACTATGGCCTCTGGGAGATTGTACCCGTTTAAACTAGCATTTGGACTTATGGACTTTTATTGTATGGTGCTGGCCCTTTAAAAACAGTGTATGGACATATTGAAACTTTTTGGACACCTTTTTCTTCCCCTTTGAATCCCTGGGAAGGTGCGGCTCTTCCCCTCCCCCAGCTCCATTGTTCTCCAGCAGGGTGTTGTCCCAGGGACACTGCCAGACCATTGGGAACTGGTTTGGGCAGGAAAAGCCATGCTTGCAAGTGATAAAGGACTTCGACCTAACTTAAATCCCTGAAAATATTCAAATGAATTTTGGATGTTTGTCCCCAAGTTATACTGGTTAAAATAATATAAGTTTTATGTATGTACGCTGTAAACTCACAAAGTTATAAAAATGTATAAAAAGTGTAACTTTTCTGACACCTCCTGCTTAAAACCCAAAAAGTCAGAAGGATCGTGAGGCCCGTCACAGTGTGTAACTGTGAATGAGTAAGTGTGTATCTGTGAATGTGTATGTCTGTGAAGGTTTGTTTCGGTGTGAGTTGGTTAAACAATGTGTGTGACAATGACTATCTGTGAGTGTATGTCAGTGCATGCATCAGTGAAGGCGTGTATCTGTCAGAAAGATAAATTTGGAGGGAGGGGGGGGCGCCTGAGTTTTGTCATGCCTAGGACAGCACCAAACCTGAATACACCACTAACTACAAGCACCATAAACACTACAGCCCACTTTAGTGGCTATGGTACCAGTGGCACCCAGGCACCATCCCAGAGTAATTAGTCAAACATGGGGGCCTCCTGTGCCTATAGAAGCTCCTGAACTGAGCTCAACTGATGATTTTGACCCATAAGCTGGCCATGCACAGCAGCTAACAGAAATGACCACTGCAACCAAAGTTAGTTGTTGATTTATTCTCAAAAACAGTTTGACTATTTACCGTGGGAATGTATTAGGGCACTCCCGGCACCATAACCACTATTGTGGGTTGTAGTAGTTATGGTGCTTCGACTTTTTTTTAGAGGAAAGATGTGATTAACAGGTCAGAACAAACTAGTTTAATACATTTAATGTATACATAGTGAAATTACACACACACACACCCACATACATATGTGTGTGTATATATATATATACACACACACACACACACACACATATATACATATACATATACATACACACATACACACACACACACATATACATATACATACACACATACACACACACACACATATACACACATATACACACACACACATATACACACATATACACACACACACATATACACACATATACACACACACACATATACACACACACACACTTTATGATTATTATTTTATTTTTAAAAAAGACTTACCTGGAGCGCAAAGAAATCTTCAAATATGCCAACCATAGCAAATTAATTAGCATGTACAGCCATCTATCTACTCCTCCCCACTCACCCCAAACACCTATTGTGCACCCCACAATGTTTAGAGAATGGGACACAGCATTCTGTTGCTTTTGGATATTGTATTTCTATTGCAGGCATACTAGTGTACACAAAGCAGAGAATACTTATAGGGCTGCAGGACAACCAGTCTCCGAGCATTTTTGCACAGGCATGTGTACTTATGGAGATTAAATGAGTGCACTTGGCTATACATTATGTGCTTCTACATAGTAATAGAATTCAGTTTCAACTGCATTATATATGATTTTTATGTTTATCCTTTTTGTAAAAAAGCATATCTATAACTAATACTTTTCTTCCTTCATTGTACGAGTGATCAACATTTCACAAGAACTCATCCAATAAAAGGAAGAAGAAAAAAAAATAGTTTGTTTAAGAACCTTTGATTGTGCTTGATCTTTTGGCTGGTGTGTGCCCTGACAATTAAAATCATGAGTAATGTTTAGTATGTTAGATATAGATTATTCAGCAGGTATATAAACCAAATAAATTGACAACTTACCTGGATGCTTAAGCATAACATAGGCTATAGGATTTACTCCAGTATAGGCTGTACAAATGAATTTTCTCCCATAGTCATCTTTTTTAACTTCTGTAAAGTTAAGCTCAAGGATAGACACATAGCCTTCGTCTGTAGTTTTATTGCTAAAATACAAAGAGAAGAAATATTAAGCTATAAAATAATAAACGCTGCTTTAATATAAAGCTTATAAATTGTGGAACACATCAAAGGGGGTGGAATGCATTTTAGCAAAGCCTATTTGTAACAATATATTTTAGGGATTAACTTTACATTATTTTGAATACAATTTTCTCACTTTACTTAATTTGGTAATTGTACTATATTCATGTAAAACTCAACTATGCATGTGGGAAAGCAGAATTTCAAGGTATAATGAGGATCAGAGAGACTTTTTGCATGGCCATGAAAGAAATGGTTGTAGTCAGATAACTGGATCTTCCTCTGTAATAACACAACCTCACTTTGTCACATTAAAGGACAGCGGTCACCTCCACACTATGTTTTACTATAATAATCCATTCCTCATGATTTTAAATTATTATTATTTTTATGTTTTTTTAATTAAAGGGACACTATAGTCACCCAGACCACATCAGCTCAATGAGGTTGTCTGAGTACCAGGTCCCTCAGGTTTTAACCCTTCACATGTAAACATAGTTTCAGGTAAGACAGTAGCATGTTAAAGTATAGCAGGAACAATGCCAGAAGAGAGCAGTTCAAGATATGTGTTAAGAATGACACAAGACAAGGGTAGCGAGATAAGGTGGGATGGAATGGGATCAAGCAGACCAGTAGTGAGACGAGAGGAAAGGAGAAACAGTCACCTCTTGACCAGTAGCGCAAAAATGTATATTGGAGAAAATCTGACAAGGTGTGAGACTTCCTCCAGCAATGTTCAGCTGAACAAGAGCATCTCTGTAGGTAACGGGTTAACTTAGTGTGCCACGGTTGGAGGAGTGTCCTCCTTGAGGTATGTGCTTGGATCGGGGCAGAGGTGAGGGTAATGTTGTGGAAGGAAATAGCCAGAGAGGGTCAGTATAAGATAGGGGTGGATAAGAGTTAGGAATGGACATCAACTGACAGTTGCTGGAGGTCAAGAAAATTCAGTTTTCTCCTGAGTTGAGGGGGGTTAGGTTGATTATGTTGCATGAGGGGGCATTCCAAACAAAAGATATCAGGTGGTGATCTGAGAGAGTAAATAGAGGGTTAAAGAAATTAGAGACTGTGCACGCATCTGAAAAAATAAGATTGAGGTTGTTGCCAGCTGAGTAGAAGAATCAACCCACTGGGATAGTCCAAGGGAGAAAAAAAAATTTAAGGTAGTTGTGAGGCTACTGCAGTTAGGAGCGAATTGATAGGAATGCTGAAGTCTTCAAAAATTAAGGATGGAATATTATTTGAAAGAAGTAGGGATGCCAGGCAGCAAAATGGTTATGGAAGAGAAGAGGGGAACCAGGTGGGCGGTAATAGCATCAACGTTTGCAGAGATGGGGTGTCAGCATACATACAATGGGATGCCAACCCCATCATCATCATCATCATCATTAGCCAGGCATAGATCCTCAATTTACAGGATAAGCAGACAAAACAAAAAATTTAATAAGAAAAAATACCTGCTTTACCAAAACACACTGAATGGGAAGCTGACTGTTTAAAAACAGTAGGAAAAAAAAAGTATATATTTTTTTTTATATCAGGAGCCACAAATTTGTCAGTATGAAGTGTTTTTATTAGGAGTTCGGCATATCTTAAATACCACATACGATTTTGTTGGTTACCATTATGCAAGTTATTTAGAGTAAATTAAAACTAAAGTATACTTACTATGGAAGTCCAATTATAACCCTTTCATTGAAGCCATCATAATCATCAATCCAATTATCATCAAACGACCAATATATAAAGTCTACTTCAAATACTTTTTTTTTGTATAGCACTTCACAGACGAGACTCACTGGGGATCCTACAATACAAAAAAAAAAAAAAAAGTTTCTATTTTATTTATGCTGGATTTTGATAAATATACAATTCTGAACACTGATTTGCTCCTTTCTCCCCTTTATTCATACATTTCATGGCATGGTTTAAAATAAATCCACTTTTATTACTAAAGGAATCTCTAACAGACACATACAGAACAGTTCTGTGAAAAGGCAGTGTTTACATTATTGCCTAGGGTCACAATGTGGAGCACTGATGTTCAGCATCTCCATACTTTGCATGGAGACACTGAACCTTCCTAATAGAGATGCGTTGATTCAGTTGCATCTTTAGGAGGAGATGCTGATTAGCCAGTATGTCATTTGACTCCTCCCCCAACCCACCTACTTGGCTGAGATCATCATAATTTGCAAGCTCAGCCAATCCAATGCTTTCCTATAGGAAAGCATTGAATTGGCTTAGATAAATCGATTCTGATGTCAGCCAAGAAGGAAGACATGGGCGGGGCCAGAGGCTGCAAAACCAGACAGCACTGGAATAAAAGGTGAACTTTAATTCTATTAGCGAGCAAGGAAGGTCGGCCAGAAACCCAATTGGTGTTTTTAACTCTGTATATTTTCAAAGTTATACATGCATATCCTGCAGTTTGACTCCATGGCCTTTGTGAGCTTTGTCAATGGCTGGTAAACCTGTGCTCACCTCCATTCAGTGCAATGTCACTTCTGGGAGCAGCACATCATGGAGTTAGGTGTTGACTCTTATGCAATCTGGCCACCACCATCTTAGTGGGACAAGCACAATTTTGAAAATAGTAAGTTGCACCGATCCCATGGCCAAAAATGTTGTGGGGGAAGGGGGGGTGAGAGGGCTAAAGGGTGGGACTGCAGCATCGAGGGAGTAAGTTTGTTTAGGATAATTTCAAGCACAATGACTATTTTAGTAATTTAAAGTGTTCATGGTGTTTGAACCCTGTAGGTGCAGCGTTTCCATATTAAATGTAAAGACATATAGCTCTTTGCTGCCAAAGGTGTCACATCACCTCCGACAGCATCATTAACTCGTAGTACCCAGCTGGCTTATCTTTTAACTTAAAGGACTAGGTCAACTAAAATATAGAACACTTTTTTTAAAATGTGGGGGGAGAAAACCACATACTCAAAATATTGCACCTTTTGTGTGTAACAAGATCTAAAAAGAAAACCTAAATATATACATATTATGTATACATATATTAAAGTTACATCCTGAGCTGACCCAACCACCCGGACAATGATATACAATAAAATACTCACCCAACTCAACAGTCAAAATGTTGTTTGTTGGCCTTATGATGGCAGGAGAACTTTGTATTGGTAATGCTGAAATAGATGCATGCTATTAGCTTTAAATATCAGAGAAATCAAAAAGGTACAACATATCTCTGCCCTCTAATATTGCCCTAAATAGATGTAGAAAAACATAACTCACAAAAAGGTAAAAACAAAGATATCAATACACAAAATAATTTATACACACACACACACACACACACATACATATACACATATATATATTAAAAAAAAAACAAAAAAAACTGATAACTGAAGTACCAGAAGGTCAATATACTAAAGTAAGAATCCAAACTTAATGCCAGAATAATTGAACTGAAAGCAGACAGAGCTTGATTACATCCAACTGTTCATGTTTAAATCTGCAGTTTTTCGGAAGGTAGTTGGGTGGTTTAAACTTGCCTTTATTTTTTTTGAGGAGGGAGGAGCAATCATGTATATTTGTTTATCGCTCCCACCTGCCACCCACAGGTGTGGGCTGGGGAAAAATAAGTATTATACATGTAACTTAACAGCTTCCCTCTGCAGCCTTCCCACATGGATGCCACATCAAACAGGAATGTACAAATATAAGGGGATACAGCGGTTTTACCAACACATAGTGTAATAAAGTTATAGGCATGTATAAAAACATGCTACTGGCAGCACTCACAGAATGGAAATAGTCAAAGCACCTTAAGGGTGCCGCCCCCTAGTCCATAGGTGGGTTGTGGAAATCCACCTCACTTCTTAGGAACACAGGAACCAGAAGGATGCAGGAATCAAAAGGTATAAACTATTGATAAGAAAACAGCGGTCCTACACGTTTCGTTCTAAACATAGAACTTCCTCAGGGACCTTCTCAATTTAAAACAATTTCATGCAATGAAAACATGCAGTTAAAAAACCCGCTTAATTCCCGCTCTAATTCGCTCCACAGTTGGAGCTGCCACCATACCAGTCAGTTGCTTCTGGTAGTTCATTCTGCTCAGCTGTTCTCCCTTCACGATCTCGAAGATGGCGTTTGCGTTTCACGGAACACTTCCGTGTGTTCCAGGGACGTCATTTCCTCTGTTTATTCGGTTAGTAGTTGCGCATGCCTGGTAATGTTTTTTTCGTACTTATTCGTAACAATTATGACAACCTCTAGAAAGTACATGCTTTACAATTATGACAACCTCTAGAAAGTACATGCTTTACAATTATGACAACCTCATGAGTAGGTTTCCTCCCCCATTGTGGGGGGGTGGGGGGGGGTGAGGGAGGGGAGTGGGAAGAGTTAAGAAGTTATCCCAGAGGGAAACCTACTGGATACATAGGCTGCAGACACTGGAGCCGAATGGGTTAAATGTGGATATAGATTTGATTTGTTTAATTTAAAAAATTTTAAACAGAGATCCTATAACAAAACAGTTAATTGCCTTATGCTAACAAAATATGTGGGTGTATTTATGTATTTTTATATTTGATATGTATTTTGTGAATATGTACCATATATACTCTAGTACAGGGGTAGGCAACCTACGGCATGTGTGCCATGCACGGCACTCGAGGTATCTTTGCACGGCACTCAATCCTGCTAGAGCCAAACAGGCTCTGGCCTATCATGAGTCCCAGGGAAACTTCAAATATCTGCGAATACAAAAAGGTTGTGAAGGGCAATCCTCAATTTATGCATTGCAGCACATAGAGGAAGTGATCACTTCCTCCCAGCACTTGTGAATAGGAATCCACACTTTAGCACAGCAGCCCACAGCTGCTGTTGCAGCTCCTGTCCGTCCTGGTCCCCACTGGAACCCAGGGAAGCCACCCACACTGCTAGATATACACAGAGCTGCAGAATAACCCTTCCCTCATACAAATAATATGTACAGCCCACACACAGACAAATGCACAATCCGCACAAACGTAACACCACTGACAATCCACATACACCGCCCCACAAGCAGCCTCTCACATGCAATACCCCAAACAGACTCACACTACCAAACACACAATGTGACATCCATCCACACACACACAAACCCAATTCCACAAGCAGCCCCCATACATAGGTATCATACTCGATACAACAAACTACTCATGAACATATACAATATAATAGCTCATATATGCACAAATACAACGATACAAAGCAACTGCAGTATAAGGCAACATACACACCTCAATTGAAAATAATAGGACTGGCACACTCCGGGACTTCACAATCCTATTTCAGCACAGTGCTGCTAAAATGTTGCCTACCCCTGCTCTAGTATAAGACGAGTTTTTCGCCACATTTTTTGTACTGAAAAACCCCCACTCATCTTATACTCGAGTGAGTGTCTGTATTATGGCAACTTACATTGCCATAATACAGACAATGACCGCCGGGGGTTCATTACAAGACCGGCGGTCCTGTTGGGGGCTGGCATGAAGCGTTTACTTACCTTTCCTGCAGCTCCTGTCAGCTCCCTTCTCTCTCCTACGGTCTGGTCAGCTTCCCTGTCATCCCCCCTGCAAGTCTTGCGAGAGCCACGAGGTCAGAGCATTGCCACAGCTTACCGTGGCAACGCTCCGCGCGGAAGTGGAGCTGACCGAACCGAAGGAGAGAGAAGGGAGCTGACAGGAGCTGCAGGAAAGGTAAGTAAACGCTTCCTGCCAACCCCCTCCTACACAGTGCACACCACTAGACCACCAGGGAATGAGAGCCCCCCTCCCTGGCCAGATATTAAGCAGGGAGGGGGCCGGAAAAAAAACCAAAAAATAAAAAATAAAAAAACATAAAAAATATTAATATTTGAAAAAAAATAAAAAAATAAAAAAAATTGAAATATAAAAAATGCCCACCCCCCAACAAGGCTCTGCCTCACATACACACACACTGTATTCATTATATACACGCACTGCATTCATTATATACACACACACACAGTAAATATTCTAATAATATAATTTTTGGGGGGGATCTAATTTTATTTAGAAATTTACGAGTAGCTGCTGCATTTCCCACCCTAGTCTTATACTCAAGTCAATAAGTTTTCCCAATTTTTGGGGGTAAAATTAGGGGTCTCGACTTCTATTCGGGTCGACTTATACTCGAGTATATACGGTATATTTTAAATTTTTTGCACTCTTATAAATCCTATCTAAGGAGTAAGTGAATTTACAGTTAGGTTACATTTCATTTTATTGGTATATACATGATTAACGAGGAATATGGGCTCTAATAAACATTTCTTCTTGTAGTGTTCTGTTCACCATTTACATCATTTGTTTTTCCTGTAAGAGGACTTTGAAATACTGTCATATGGTTAAGTACGAAAAAAAACATTACCACGCACTCGCAACTACTTACTGAATATACAGATGAAATGACATCCCTGGAACACACGGAAGTGTTCCGTGAAACACAAACGTCATCTTTGCGATCATGAAGCGAGAACAGCTGAGCGGAATGAACTACCTGAAGCAACTGACGGGTATAATGGCAGCTCCAATCGTGGAACGAATTAGAAACACACCCACTACACCAGTTAGTTTATACCTTTTGATTCCTGCATCCTTCTGGTTCCTGTGTTCCTAAGACGTGAGGTGGATTTCCACAACCTCCCCTATGGACTAGGGGGCGGCACTCTTAAGGTACTTTGACTATTTCCATTCTGTGAGTGCTACCAGTAGCATGTTTTTATACATGCCAATAACTTTATTACACTATGTGTTGTTATTTTAGGTTAAAACCGCTGTATCCCTTTATATTTGTACATGTCGGGGAAAAATAAGGTCTCCCTATTATTAATAGCCCCCACCCACTGCCAAAAGATGGGAGCATTATAATATTTTTATAATCTACCACACATTGGTGGTGGTCATTAGATCTCCTAGCAGGTAATATTAGAGTTCCCACACGCCAACCATGGGTGTGGTATGGGCAATACTATACCCCCTTTTAATTATTTTAATATACTTTCACTTTAAGAAAACAAGGGTGATAGTATGTCCTCCCCAGTTCTTTTTTTAAATAGTGAGGTCATGGGGGCCTAGTGCTTGGTCCCCCTGTTAGTAGTGACTAAGCCACTACAGCTAAACAAAATACGCACATTTGTCGACTTTAATCGCTGGGATTAAATCTATTCTAAAATTGGAAAAATTGACTGTCAGAAGAATTAAGTCAAGGCCTTTAAGAGAATGTTTCCAATTTAGCCATTTTGACCTTAAATATGAAATTCACTAACAGGGACTACTATGTACTTGCGATGACGTGACCACGCACACAAGGCCATGACATGCTGATTACGCAGGACGCCCAGTACATGTTGGACAAACTCTAGCAGGAACTGGAAGGGAACTAGGGACTACTTTGTCTTAAGTATTTTTCCCCACACTTGTCAATCTTGACAAAGGATGGTGCTTAACACAAGCTTCACCCTTTGTTAGCTTGAAGTTGAGCTTGCCTTACGTTCCACCCCCTTGTCACTATTGTCAAGCGTGGGACAAATACATATGTTTTAAAGAGAAACAGATCAAAAATAAAGAAAGGTAGAACAGATTCTGAAAGAAGGGAAGCAGAGGCAGTAGGAGAAAGGTAAGTTTGAGGTAACAGAACCAGTTTACGTGAAAAACAAAGAAAAAACAAAAAAACAAAAAACAAAAAAACTTGTCCTTTAGGGCGTTAAAATTATAATTACCTTTTAAGACAAGATCACCAGTACGTGAAATGGTATAGCTTGCACCATTATAATAAAAAGATGCCTCACACGTATACTTTCCTTCATCCTGTTGTGTCACATTATTAATAGTTAAGAAAATGTCTACTGAAAAATATTTATCAGTGTTGCTAGCCAAAGGGGTGCAATCCTGCAAGAAAAAAAAAAAAAGTTTACAAAATTGTCGAGAGACATTCTGTTGGTCGCTTAGGTGATGCTTATTTACTCTCTGCACCAGAATATCACATGTTTTGCCTTGATAAATCTGCGGGTGGGTTTCACAAGCATACTTTGTATTTTGCTATTTCAGCCTAACAAAATTGTCTGGATTCTATTACATGATATACAATTAACTAACAGTTATACGCTTAAGTAAGGATTCAATGTGAATTTCAAATCTAAGTCAGAGAAGTTGAATTTGAAAAATTATGCAACTCAGTGGCCTTAAATTGGAAACTAAAGGGATAATGTAGGCACAAAGCAACTTTAGGTTAATGACGCAGTTTTAGTGTGAAGGTCATGCCCATGCAGTCTCACTGAGTAATCCAGTGTCATTTAGGTATATGTTTATGCAGTCCTAGTCACACTTCCCTGCATTTCACTTGCAGAGCCTTCCAACAGAGATATTATGTTTAAACCTTTTAAAAACCTTTATTGCACATGCTGTTTAATTTAGAATTCTTTATCTTCTACTGTGTTAATAGACTTCTAGATACTACAGTTGACCCCTGTATGTGATTAAAGTTCATTTTAAAGAGCAGGGAATAAAAACTTTTAAAGTCAATGAAGATCTGATTGAAACGTAAATGTAGAGCTACACAAACAAACGTGATTTAACACCAATATAGCAGAAAATTGGGTAGTGTGACTGTAGAGGCATGATCTATACTCTAAAACTGTTTTACTAAACTAAAGTTGTTTTGATGCCTATAGTATCTTTAACTTTGAATTCACCTTGAATTCTCACTTTATTTAAACCCCTGTCAAAAATCCTAGGGAAACTCTAGGCCAGGGTTAGGCAATCTTCAGCACTTCACATGTTGTGGACTACATCTCCCCTGATGCTTTGCCAGCATTATCGGTGATGTAATCCACGGAAATATTATTTTAAGATTTAATTTTTCTACATACACAACATCTGGAGTGGCCTATAATTGGAATATCAATGCACACCTGGATATGGATTATTAGTGATAATTCAAAAATAGCATTCTAGCCAATAGGCTGGAAAGGATAACAGACACGGTTCGATACAAATGATACCAGCTGGGCTACCTGGTGTAGCCTGTTGGACTAGAGAAAGGAGACAAGCTAAAATTGTTAAACACAGAACTTATTTTCAATCTTAGACATAAATAAAGTACACGAACCGGGATGGCTTGAGGTTCCATCTCCCAAGGACCGATAGTGCAAAATACTTAAATAAAACACCAAAAAAATAGCTTCATAATAGATTCAAAAAGGTTAAAAAAAAAAAAAAAAAAATTTAAAAAAAAAAAGACACAGATAACACACACAGAAGGTGAAAATACAGATTACACATAGTTTGCAGTAAACTGTATTTTTGCACCATTCAAAGATCACGTCAGGAAAAAGTGACTAGAAATCAATATTCATATATTAAATATAATAGATTTATTTTTTTTACTGCTCCTTTTTTACCTGTGAATAAAATTAACATTAAGTGGCTGTCCCCTAACCATTGATCATCTTTTTTTCCCACATTTCTCTTTTTCTTGTGACATGGAAGGAACTCCAGATCACAAACCAAACAAACATGTCTATTGTCCAACTCGTTTGTTCGTGAAACGGCCTTATGGCGTTTTGAAATAACGTAATTCAGACAGACCATAAATAGTCTAACATTCTGATGAATCCCAGTTCGTTTGAAATCAAATGCACAAGTCTACTGCATACTGTGAGTCAACCACCCAACTATAAAACACCAGAAGGATAGAGTCTAGAGCACAAATAGCATTCTCCTTAATCTGGCATTATGAAAAAAATAAAAAAAATAAAATAAAAAAAAAAGCACATCCTGTTTCATATGAGGACTGCTTTTTTTAATCAGAGTTAACTTATCCTGGATTTTTTGGTGTTTTACTGTATATATTTTACATGGGTATGCAATGTGATAAATGTATATAGAGACAGCACAAATCGCAAACAAATATAACTCTTGTATTAAATGTATAAGCCTTAAACTTCAATTTAGTAGATAATCAAATCTTATAACCATACATTTAAAAACACCTTCAAAATTCACCCATATTTGACTTGGAAAATAAAAAAAAAAAAACATTTTTTTTTACTTAAATGAACAATTACCTTAAACCATTTAAGCTTACGACTCTTGGCATCAATATAATTTTCCAAATCTGGGCAACGTATATTGATTGTCTGAACCATCAAATCTTTGAATACATACAATGCTGAGCTGCTGTAACACAAGCCGTCATCATACTTAAACACTTCTAATTTTACTAGCTTTTGGAAGCAATGTGTGGTGTTTCTGTATGAAATACAAAATAGTCGTTAAACAAAAACAACATTTAAACTTTAAAAATATATATTATATATTTTTATATTGTGTGTGAGTGTGTATATATATATATATACACATACACACACACACACAAATAGAACCCCAACCACAGAATGCCAAAAAATAGACAGCAATAGATTAAAAATGTACTTTTAATATCACCAGAAGAGACAGACACACACAGAAGGGGGAAATGCATATTACACATCCAATTTAAGCTAGATTATAAAGCCCAGTGTCACTTTTGAACATTTCATAATGATCGATTCTTTACGAAAGGCTTTTGTTGACTGTGTGTAGGGACTACTTTGTCTAATTGAACAGCTGATTTGGGGAAAAATGTGGAAGAGGGAAAGCAACTTTCACATCCTGCAATAGATCAACATTTTGTAGGCTTGTAAGAGCATGAGAGAGTGCACTACTGAAGAGGCTACCAATAGGTGAAACCACCAGGAGCTGAACTAGCTTAACGGCAGTGAAGATGGGCACCATGGAGGGAGAACATCAAATACTGTATATGTGCATGCCAGCTACCCATTTCCAGGCACAACCACACAAGCAGAGTAATCACCATGGGAAGGGGGTCTGTGCGAAAAAAAAGCAATTGGGAGAACTTTGAGTCCAACTTATTTGACTTCACTATACCTCACATTGCCTTCCAATTATACACAAAAAGTATTGCTAAAACGTTGTAGTGGAAGCATTCCTCTAAAAGGTCCATTTTAGAAAAATCATAGAAATTATTTTCCAACATTAAAATGACAACTAATGAAGTGGCCTTGGTGCAGAGGCCCTTTAGAAACTGTAGGGTAAACCTAGTGTCTGTCTTCCTTACCGCCACTAGAGGTGCTTCCCATGTGAGAATTAAGTCAGGCTTTTCTCAATCACATGCTGCTCATACAGAGCATTAGATTGGAGGAGTACAGCGATTTGCTGAGCATGCACACTAGCCACCCAATGCTTGTGATTAGCTGAGATTATCAATGTTGAAGATCTCAGCCAGGGTGGCATAGCAGCCATAGTGAGACCTGCACAGCGCGATACCTTTTAAACTCTCATAGGAAAGAGGAGGTAACTAAATAGATAAGGGAACACTACAGTGTTAGGAATATCTATGTGTTCCAAATGTTCTAGTGTTCCTTTAAATAGGGGGGTGATGTTGCTTCAGGTGGATAGTGTTGAATTTAATAAATTTACCTGATAATGCACATATAATACTCTGAATCTTCCAAACTTGCAGGAATAAACTTGAGAAGGTTTTCGTCTTGATGAACTCTTAACTTATTGTCAAAACTCATTTGAATTTGGGAGTCATTTCTGTACCAGGAAATATTAAAATTAAGTTCAGTGAGTTCCAGTATCAAAGGGCAGGTGACATAAACTGGCTGTCCATCTGCTACATAGGTTCTTTCAAAATTAATTCCTTCATCTTTACATATTTCTGAAATTAAAGAAAAAATATTATAGCAATTGTTTATATAAAAAATATGATTTTTTTGTATTTTATTATACTCTAATTTTATTTATGTAAATTTTTTATACTTTCACCTTTTGCACATATGGATGGAAACCCTCTGCCTTTAATATTGCATCACCCTCCTCCCCCCTTTATTTTACACCATATCTTAATGGTTATATTTTTATTTTAAAATATTTATTATAAAAATGTGTTCAATTAAAAAAAAAAATTCTAATAAAAATATCGGTTTCTAAAAATGTTTTACAGTATGTACATATGTTCTGCAAGGAAAATCTTTCCATGTTTAAATGATGGTTATGATGCCAAACATGGCTATATTTAATAATAGCAACATTGTTGGCTACTTCATAAAGTTAGGTTAAAGTAGAACATGGTCTCATTGTAATATGTATGACTTTATGTGTTCCTATTAAAACCACTAGGTGTTTTTGTGTATTTTTCTTAACAAAAGTGCAAAAGGTTAGATAACAAAAGCTAATTTTCACAGCCTTTTTTGCTCATATTTACCAAGGCTGCCAATATTAGTGGAGGGCACTGTATATCACAGATGCACATCAGTTGCATGTCAGTGCTTATAACGTAATGACCACATCAGGACTACATAGTTCAACTGCAGGGCTTTGCCTTGTGCGGTAACACATGTGGTTAATCTCCACATTTCTGAAATGTACTTTGTTTATGGAATGAATAGTTATATTCTGTATTTAATCATCTTGCTTGTTTCCGGGCTAAATTTGTGTTTATCTGTTAAACACAGTGCAGTAACTAAGCTGCAAAACAATCTAAGTATTTTAAATTTTTAAAAAAGTGGTCACTTTGACCACCAAAACAAGCTTAGCTGAATTCCAGGTGGTCCAGTGGGGGGTTAGAAGGATCCTTGGTGGTCTAGTGGAAGGTGAGCTGGATCCCTTGTGGTCCAGTGGGGATGCTTCATAGTCTGCACTGATATCAGCTGGCTGTGGTGCTTTGAGTCATTGACCAGCGCTGAGGTAGCAGCGAGGGTGCACTTTATGTGGTATGTACCTGATATTGGTACCGACCACAACGCTCTAGGAATAAAGTGAGTGAGCGTAGAACTGTGCAGAGATCTTTTGAGCTCCCTGCCAGCTTGAGGAGGATTTGCTCAGAGCTGGAACTCCAGGCCCCTGACTGTCTTGAGTACCTAACAACTCGGCTCTGTTTGAAATAGAGGAATTATGTAATAAAACGTGTTTGAAAGTTAACAAAAAGAACATTATCTCAGTCAGTGTGTGTAAAATCAAAAACATTCTGTAAGCGGGGCCCATTTAGTGGCCCTAGACTAGACTGACTGACGATCTGTAATCTGTATGCATTGTTTAAATTGAGCGCCGCATACAGCCCTTTAAATCAACTGAAAACAGAGCAGATGAGCACAATCACTGGAAGGTGCTTAAGGGAGACCCCAGAGTCCAAACAGACCCTAAAATGGTTTCTCTGGATGCCTCGGGTCAATTGTGATCAGTGCTGATCAGCTGGCAAAGTGTAATCGGCTATGAAAGCATGCTTGTTTGCAGTATTAAAGGGAAATCTCCTGGTAATGCTGAAAACAGACAGTAGATAGTGATCACAGACCACACTCCACTATTTTAACTAGATCAGTATAGCAGATGGTTTCATTAGCGGTAGGGGAATGATTAATGCCGGGTTAGGGTTAATGCAATAATATAGTTTGGGATAATGTAGAGTTAAGGTTAGGGGTAGGTATACTGTTATAGTAAGTAAGCATTGGGTCAGGTGTTTTGTTGGTATATTTGGGGGACAACTATAGAGTTTGCATTAACTACCAAAATAAATGTATTTAGATCCTAGATATGAGGCATTTAACAAATCAGGACTGGTACATGAATCTATTTTAAGTTATTTTTCCTTTTGTTGCACTGGATGTGTAAAAATTAGAATTTGAGCTATATATTTACCTCTTTCATATTAAGTGTACCTACACTTATTATATATAATTTTGTTCAGGAGAAATGGGACTATAATTTCACATAAATGAAATATAATATGGGACACGGTATCAATGATCTCTACAATCTAAAAACATGTGAGAAATAAAAATGTTATTTTTCAAGTTCTGCATGGCATTTTAACTGTGAATGTCATATACACCATACTGGACCCCTGTTTAGCGATACCCATCAGGTGGCTCTAATGATTGGGCCACCCGATGGGCAAAAATCGCACGGAACACCAATCGGGAAACGCTGCTCTAGGGTGACTTTTTACAATGTGTGGGGGAGATTCGGAAAGAAACGTGCTTGCCAAAACACAAAGTCTCTGTACTTCTTCTGAATTTAAAATACAATGATCAGGCAGCAGAGAAGGTTAACAAAAATATGAAAATTACTTTAGCTGACAAAAAGGGTCAAGAGAAAAAAAAAAAAAAAAGTGTACCTTTTAATAAATATTAGTACTAATGTACTAAATACCCTTATCAGAATGATCACAAGAGAAAGGGTTTAAAAATCCCTTCCTTATTATTTAATTTATTTTTTTTACATAGTAAGGGACACAGTTCCTCCCATCTCAGATCAAAGTGTGGAAAGAGAAGAGCAGAAAACAATGTCTCAGCCAATGTTACAAATCATTGACTGAAACATTGTAACAATGATTGCTGTGAAAGGCTATCACCATGAACACGTGTCTCGGATCACCGGCATTGGCTGGGTAGGCCAGCGGGCTGGAGGGATGACCAGATCGTTAGGGAGCTGCTATGCTGCCCTAACAGCATTAAAACCCTCCTATAGTAGTCAAAGCACAGCATGCCCTGACATCGCAATCTGTTTAAGGGGTTAAAGTAAGCATACAGCTGTAATGGTCCGCATCATAAATAGAATTCAGGAGAAGTAGATAAAACTGTAATAAATGCTCTATTGTTAAACAAATGAGACATCCTACAACAAAAACATAAATCATGAAAGGTTTCTGATTTCTAAGGAGTCACAAACATCAAAACTAACTTCAGAGGATGTGGTATTGCATTCCAAAGTATTGCGGGAAATGGGTCAGGACTGTACAGATTTGTGGATCGCTGCCCAGAACTGGCAAAACAAATAAAATTATATAAAATTATCCCTGAGGCATTCCAAGTCACGTGTTTTCATGGTAATTTAAAACTACCAAATGTGAGTATCACATTATAAAAAGATTAGTAACCCCAATCTGCCATAATTAATACGATTCTACAGTAGGAATGATGAATGTTTAAGAAACAAAGTCTGCAATCCTCTGTAAAAAAAAATAAAAAAAAATATGACTTTTGAAAGTGCCCAAACTGCATTTTAATCCTTCTACCCTTTCTAAATTCAAAGCACCCATACATGTAAAAAGTGCACATTAGGTTACATTTACGTGTTCCCAGTTTGTTTTTGTTTCCTTCAACTAAAAAAAAACTACACAGCAAGAGCTAAGGACACCATGCACTAGATTCCTACAGGTTAGCAGGGATCTAACCACTGGGCATTGCAACGGTTTATTAAACCATTGCCTACTAGTTACACAATGCTGCCAGTGGCTTTTTATCTTAATAGCAATAATATCAATTGTAGCAGAATAAACATGGGTTTGCATCTTTTAACAACTGACTGTTAACCGCAAATTGCTTGTTAAAGAAAGTTTCCCCTGTGTGGCCCCTGTTCATATTACCGAACGCATGTGTACAAAACAAGCAGCGGCCATTTCGTCTCTCGAACGTGGGCAGTGGTACATGCTCATCGACGACCTGGAACGGCGTTCGGGAGACCTAAACTATCCAACAGGGGGAACATTCGTGTGCTAGCAGCCAGGGGGAATACCTTTGTCGGCATTCGTGTGAGAACCTCAGAAAAATGACCATTTGAGCCTTAATTTCTCTGGAACTGTTTTGGGGTTTCACCTCATGGCTGTCCGGTCATAATTTCACTCAAATGGTGTTCCCGAACCACCGAACGGATCTGAGTGATATTTTGACACAGAGGAGGAGTCTGAACTGTTTACTTGTCCCCTCTCAGGTCCATCTGGGAAATGCCCCAGGAATATGATTTAAGAAACCCCTTGCATGGGGTGTTGCATAAAAGCCAGCTGTGGCTGAATAAAAATCAGTTGACTCCCAGAACTGTGTGTCGTCCGATAAGTGAAAATTGAATTAATCCAACTGATTGGATAATATCTGTTTGTAAATAGCACATACATATTGATTTTGCATCTCAAAACACTGATTTTATAGATATATATGGATAGACAGAATTAAAACAAAAATTGATTTTAGAAGTTGAAATCGCAATTTTCAGGTTCATTTTATAGAATTTTCTATTCAAAATGCTTAAATGTATAGTGTAAATATCTGTGAGGGGTTAACCTTCTTTTAAATAAAACAATAATAAAAATTAGCATCTTACCTACGGATTTGCTTGACGCCAGAAATGTTAGGGTTAGAAGGAAAGTGTACAGTGTCAATGGCATTCTGTTAACCTACAGAAAATAACACAAAAAGCATGCAATTTATTGGCAGTGGAACACATTTTCCAAACATAATATTGGCTACTGTGCGCATATAGATACACTTATCTAAAATTGTATTTAAAAGTGGTGCTGATTCTTTGAGGATTTACCTTTTAAAAGGAACACTATATGGTTAGGAATTCAAATGTGTATGAGGCCAGTTTGAATGCATGACAAAAAGCAGCACTGAGCCAATCAGATGGTCTCAGCCGCAGGGTTTAAACAGGGGGGACATGGCACCCAGACCATTGAGATAAAGTATATAGTGCTCCATTAAATTAATCATGTTTGTCCCCGTTTCTTCTTGTAGATATGTTGGATTTTATTACATAAAAAAAATAGCAAAAAAAAATAAAATAAAAAAAAAAAATTATCTGTAGCTGTACATAACAAAAAGTAGAAACTACTTGTTCTTATAGAAAGCATGAGATTTGGAAATGTTTGGCAGTGGGTGAAGCTTTAAGGGACATTATAGGCACCCAGACCACTGCAGCTCACAAAAGTGGTCTGCATACAATGTCCTAATTGCACTAGTCCTGCAATGTAAATCATTGCAGTTGAAACTGCAATGTTTATATTGCAGGACTAAGACAGCCTCTAGTGACTGTCTACCAGACAGGCAAGAGGCATTTCCGTGATTGTACCAGACTTTAGGTCACCTAAACGATGCTGGGTGGCCTCATGCTCTTCATGAAGACATGCAGTGTTGGTTAAATCCCCATAGGAAAGCATTGATTTAATGCTTTTTTTTTTGGGGGGGGGGGGGGAAGGCTTAATGTTCCTCACTTGCGCATTACCTCCCCCACCCTGTTAGATGAGGGAGGAGGCGGGGCACCAACCCAGCACCAAAGGACATCGACACTGGAATTGAGTATGTGATCAAACTCTTTATTGGCCAGTATGCTTTATTGGAATGGAGTACGTTTTTAACCCTTTATTGTCCAGGGGAGTCAGAGGGAACTATAGTGTTAGGAATACAGGTATAGTATCCCTTTAAAAGGAAAACGTTAGATTTTTAAAGCATTTTTATTAACTGTGATGTAAAAAAATAAATAAAAAAAAAAAAGGAAATTATGTAATTTTTTAAAAGTTTTAAGGAATGTTTACTAGGGTCAGACTCTACTGCTCAACCTAACATGACTGCTGTTGCAGTTTCACACAGAAAAAACAGAGCAAACAGCTGGCAAGTTAGCTTGAACAACATTTAGTCAAGTCTGACCCAATTATTGTTACCTCTTGTTCCTATATTCATCCTTTTACTCTTTTATTGCCTTGTAATGGAGCATTGTTTCATTTATAAAAAAAAAAAAAAAAAAAGTGGTAAACTCACTACGTAGGTCCCTGGCCCCCCAGTCAGAGCAGTGAAAAAGTGTTTAAACCTACCTTTTCTCAGCGCCGGTCTTGCTGTGGCTGACCCCGCCTCCATGGCAGAGATCACTAAACTTGATGATCTCAACCAATACGAGGCTATTGCGCGTGCGTGGCAAAATGCCAAGCTGCACCAATTTATGGGAAAATTAAATGTCTACATGCAGAGCATGGAGATGCTTAAAGCGAGTGACTGCCACTAAATGTGTTACTAAACAATGCATTTTTTCTTTTTACATTAAAAAGCCTGCAGAGACATGCTATAGACACCAGAACCACTACATTAAGCTGTAGTTGTGCGGTGACTATAGTGTCCCTTTAAATGTATATCAAGTTCTGTATATTTTGAAATCAGATTTAAACCGTAACAAATAACATTATTGCAATACATCTTATGGGGAATTCCTTTTGCAAGTAGGGGAAAGTAATTGTATGTATGGTTTTTTTTCCCCCCTTTCTTCTTTTTTAATAGAACATTGCTCTCCGCAGGCTCAAATTCTATTATACAACAGAAATGACAACACTCCAAGCAACACAACTTGTGTCTAGCATAAGGTATGGAACAAGAATGACTAACGGTTTTTCTCCGCACAAAGCATATGGGGTGGATGAAATCTACTCCCACTTAACCCCTTAAGGACACATGACATGTCATGATTCCATTTTATTCCAGAAGTTTGGTCCTTAAGGCAGTGGCGTACACATGACCCATGGGGCCCCGGTGCAAAAATTTAATTTTTTTCAAATTTAATCCCCCCCAGCCTCCTTACCTTTTGGAGTGCTGGGGGGATTCCCTGGGGTCCAGTGGTGCTGCTGACCCCAGCGGGCGGGTGGCCGGGCAGGATGGCGCACGAGGGAGCACTCACTGCTTCCTCTTCAGCTCCCTCGCGCGCCGCGTAGGGATGCCGGCGCCGGAAGATGACATCATCTTCCGGCTCCGGCATCAGTGCGGTGCGCGAGGGAGCTGAAGAGGAGGCACTGAGTGCTCCCTCGCGCCCGCCTGCCCGACCGGCCACCCGCCTTCCGGGGGTCAGCAGGGCCAGCCTCGGGGGGGCCTGGGGTGGTCGGCTCCAGGGCCCCCCAGGGGAAGAGGCTGGCCCTGTGGGTACATACCGGGTCGCAGGGGCGGCCGGGCCCCCTGGTGGGCCGGGCCCGGTCGCGACCCCGGTATGTACGCCACTGCCTTAAGGGGTTAAAAAAAAAATTGTATGTGTTTAATATGATATTATGCACCAACTGACTAACACATGGTTCAGCTCTTTTCTGGAGTTTCTGTAAAGGAACACAATAGTGTCAGGAACACAAACATGTATTCCTGACCCTATAGTGTTAACACCACCATCTAGCGCCCTGGGCCCCTCATGCCTCCATAAATATAGCAAAATCTTACTTGCATTCAAGCCTGAAGCTGTAGCTCTGCATGTGGTTTGCCTCAGAAAAGCAAGATGAACCAATCACAGTGCTTCTCCGTAGGATTGGCTGAGAGTGACAAGGAGGCAGATCAGGGGCAGAGCCAGCATGATTCAAACACATCACTGGCCAATCAGCATCTCCTCATAGAAATGAATTGAATCAATGAATCTCTATGAGGAAAGTTCAATGTCTGCATACAGAGGGAGGAGACGCTGAATGATTGGATGCATTTTAGGCAGCCATGACCCAGGAAGGATCTCTAACAGCCATCTAAGGAGTGGCCAGTGAAGTTATCACTAGGCTGTAATGTAAACACTGCATTTTCTCTGGTGACTATAGTGTCCCTTTAAGTAATAAGTTAAAGTTTACAGTGTTACTGTCTCTTTGATATTCTAGGAATCCTCAATTTTAGACCAACATAAAATGTAGAACAACCAAGGTGTGACAGGAGTGTTAATATTTACTGATTTTGCAAATAATAAAGCATTACAATCAATATCGTAATGGAATAAAAGAAAATGGCAAAAATCTGTGAAACAGCTTTTTTTATAAAATATTAAAATGAAATGTTTCTCTAACCACCTTTGTTTTTCCCTGGGCATTTTGGAAACTGTATTAGAGAGAAGAACCTTGTTCTGTTTATGGAGCAATAGAATGCTACACGCTACTCATACCTCACATTCTGGTGGATTAGCAATATTCAAGAGCCTTTTTTATTAAAAGAATAACTGTGATTAGAAATAGTAGCAGACTATTCTGTCAACCCACAGAAGAATCAATGTCAACCCACTTTCCATTTTGCTTTGGTATTCACCCTAACCTTGCAAGACCATGCCTACAGTAAAAAGCTAGAACAATTAAACAACTACAAAGTTCCAGGTCTTAAAGGATTTCCTTAATTTTTTTCTTTATAGTGTCTTATGAGGTACTAGTTAATAGCCCGCAATAAGTAAAAAAAAAAAAAAAAAAAAATTTGGATAACATTTGGAATCCAGCACCCAACAAGGATCTTCTATGCCCTGACCCAATGGCACACTGAGTCACTCTCTTCCTCTAAGTGGTCCACTCACATGCTTCTAATAGAGAATCATTTGATTAGACCATTTCGCTGGCTCAGATTGCATAAGCATGGTCTGAGCCAGTAACAGGACGGAGAGAGGGTCGGAATAAATCATTTAAAAAAAATAAATAAAATCTCTGGATGTGCATCATTTCAAGCAGAAGTGATCTTGGAGGTTGAAATAACTCTTTAATAAATTGCATAGTCATGCCCTGCTTCATGTTTCAACATTTATCTTAACTAAAAAAAAAAAAAAAAAAAATTTAGAATGAGTTAGCTTGAAAACTTTCCATAAATAGACCACAACACATTATTGTACCTTGACCTAGCAACATTGTCTAAAACACTAGCATTCCTGTAGAACAACTACACAGTAGCACATGGAAACTATACTTAAATTCATCACACAATAGGGGATTATTTCCTCACAAGAATTACATGGAAGATTTGTGGAATTGTCCCCAAATGAAAATTCTTGTTAAATCACTCCCTTTAGAACTTTAAAAAGGGACACTCCAGGCACCCAGACCACTTCTGCCCATTGGAGTGGTCTGGGTGCCAACTCCCACTACCCTTAACGCTGCAAGTGTAACTATTGCAGTTTTCATAAACTGCAATATTTACATTGCAGAGTTAAGTCCTCCTCTAGTGGCTGTCTACTAGAGGACACTTCCATGTTCATAGAACATGAAGTGTTTTAAAACAACGCTGGACGTCCTCACGCTGTGAGGACCTCCCGCATCGAGGAAATCCCCATAGAAAAAGCATTGAAAGCTTTATTCAATGCTTTCCCAATGGGAGGTCCAATCTAATGCTTTTTGCACAGCCATTGCATTAGGTCTCCCCCGCCGGCTGACGTCGGTGGGGGAGGAGAGAAAGCGGAGCCTGACCCAGCACCGAGGGACATCAGCGCTGGACTCCGGTAAGTCACTGAAGGGGTTTAAACCCCTTCAGCAACTTGGGATGGGGGGGGTGGGAGGGAGAGGGGCACTAGAGGGTCCTGCAGTGCCAGGAAAACTAAATATGTTTCCTGGCACTGGAGAATCCCTTAGAATTGTTCTTTAAAAAAAGAACTTCAATAAAACACATGACTGCTAGATGCAATACTTGCTAACAATTTACTTCACTAAATCCACAGTATCCTCATTTGCATCTAATTAGGAACTTAATCAGAAATCTCACAACATGAGGAAAACAGACACCAGTGAATCCTTCTCTTGTACTACACATGAACGTAGAATTTACAAAGGATACACTCACATTAAGGCATGAAATAAAAAAAAAAAAAAAAGTGCTTTACAATGTTCTTCTGGCAGTTTATGCAACTCCTTAAGGACCAAAGATATACAATCCACGTCAGAATATAAATAGCCCTTGAAAACAAATGGACGCAATTGAAGGTTATGTAAACAACCATTTGGGGTGTATTGTTTTTTTTTTGTTTATTTTTAACTGCTCTGTCACTTTCAGAATCTTTGCAGGGGCAGACTGAGCGGTCGGGCACTTCGGACATAGTCCGAGGGCCCGGGCGATGTAGGGTGCCCGCCACCCAGCCACTTTGTGTCTGTGGCACAGTCACACACAACAAAATTTGCGCTGACCTAGAGTCCAACGTGTGCAAACCGCACCTACCTCAGGGCCCGACACTGCTTACTAGAACAGAGGAGTATTTCAGTCCTGTGCGCATTGGCGTGCAACATCGACATCACACATGTGCCGCCCGCTATTGAAGAGTAAATGTTTCAATGATCAGAGGCCCGGTAAAGCACCGTGGCCACTTATCAGCGTGACTGGGCCCCTGCACTGTGTAATGCCGCGACGCAGGAAGGTTCTCCCTCCCTGCTTACCAACAAACCGAGAGAGAGGAGGTGGATTAATAGGTAGGACCTGAGGAGAGAGCCAGGCTCCCATCACACTCAGTCAGATGCCACTTGATACCAGGGAAGCCACCCTCCTGCACTTAAAATGCATGGAAGCATGTTAGATAGAGTCTGTATATCAGTATGCGTGTGTATCTTTGTGTGTGTTAGTGTGTATCTTTATGTCAATGTGGGTGTCTGTGTATCTGTATTAGTTTATCTGAGTTTGCACCTGTATGTGTCACACATACACAGGTGCAGACTCTCAGATACACACACACACACACACACACCTCAGCATTCCAACTCCAACAATTCACACAAATAAGCTCCTGCATTCAAATATCAACACTGCTGCCTTTCTTCCATCTCTGACTGGATGTTCTCCCGCTTTCTGAAACTCTCTCTCTAAAACTGAACTCCTTGTCTTTCCTCCTCCTAATACTGATCTTCCTCTTTCCCTTCAAGTCAGTGGTATCCACATAGGTCCATCTTTGCAAGCACGCTGTCTTGGCGTCATACTTGTTTCTGGCCTCACCTTTGAGTCTCACATCCAGTTTGTTGCCAAATCCTGTAGGTTCCAACTTAAAAACATAGCCCGCATCCGCCCCTTTCTTACAAAAGAGGCAACCAAGGAGCTTGTCCATGCTCTAGTAAATTCCCGCATGGATTATTGTAACCCTCTCCTGATTAGTCTTCCCAAAAGCTGTATTGCCCCGCTACACTTTGTAATGAATGCCACCGCCAGACTTATTTTCCTCTAGTCGGTCCTCTCACACCTCAGTCAGTCCTTATATTGGCTTCCTGTATCCTGCAGGAGTCAATTCAAAGTGCTAACCCATACCTATAAAGCACTGAACAGTTCTAGCCCCTCATATCTCCTCACAGATCCATAGGTATGCCCCTCCTCTGTCCCTCCGCTCTGCCTGTGACCTTCTCCTGTCCGCTACTCACACCCATACGGCCAACTCACACTTGCAGGACCTCTTGCAGGTGGCTCTCTTCCTATGGAATAACCTGCCTACCCTCATCACAGTGGCGGATCCAGAGCCTGATCTCAGGAGGGGCACTTGTAGATTATTTAAAGAAATAATCCAGGCACAATAACCACTACAGCTCAGTGTAGTAGTTATGGTGTCAGTAGTGCCAGGATCCCATCCCAGAGTAAGTAGTCAAACCGTTTAAGAACAGTTTGACAACTTACCTGGGATCTGCTGGGATATAGCGCATAGGAGCAGTGGTATGTGTGAGGGGTGAAGTGTGTGAAAGGTGCAGTGTGTGAGTGTGGCAGTGTATGTCAGGATTACAGTGTGTGTGTGTGTGTGTGTGTGTGTAAGCGGTGCAAAGTATGTGTGTTTGGGGGCACTGTGTGTATGGGGGGTTGTGTATATGGGGGGAGGCAATGTGTCTATGGGTGTGCAGTGTGTGGCAATGTTTGTGGGGCAGTGCATGTATGGGTGTGCAGTGTGTGTATGGGTGGCAGTGTGTGTGTGTGGGGGGGCCTTTTATTAATTTTTTTTTAAATAAAATAAATACATGTCCCCCCTCCCTTACCTTTACTGGGAGGAGGGGGGACATTTCTCCATCCCTGGTGGTCCGGTAGGGAATCCCTGGTGGTTCCAGTGGTAAGAGTGAATTCTAGCCCTTAGCTCCAGGGCTAGAGTTCACTCTCACGAGATTTGGAGCGTTGCCATAGTATCCGCGGCAACACTCCGTGCTCGCGAGAGTAGGACCTGCAGGCTGAGCTCCCAGGTCCTCTCTCCCTCCCCTGCAGCCAGAACAGTGCCTGCGGACCGGGGAGGGAGATCTCTGATCTCCCTCCCTGGTCCACAGGCACTTGGACAATGCATGCCCTGCATTAGCTGGCAAGGGAGAATCTGGGGTGGGGGAGGGCCCAATTGCCCCGTTGTGCCCCTCCCCCCCCAGATCCCCCACTGCCTCATCAGACTCTCCCCTAGTCTTCAATCCTTTAAGAAGAGCCTTAAAACCCATCTCTTTAGGAAAGGTTATGGCCTCCCAGAGTAACCTCTACCTTACACACCTGTCTCTTGCTCTCTCCTCCAGCTCTGCTTCTCTCCCACTTTATTTGTTTGCTATTTCCTGTCCCAATTTGTTTTACACCCCACCTCCTATAGACTAAGTTCGTTTGAACAGGGTCCTCTTCAACCTATTGTTCCTGTAAGTTTTCTTGGTAAATTTGGTAATTGTCCTATTTACAGTTAAATCCCCCTTTATAATATTGTAAAGCACTACGGAATCTGTTGGCGCTATATAAATGGCAATAAGTCCTATCTCCAGCATCCTTCATCTGTCAAACCCATATATATCGTGCTGTATGTGAATAGAGTCATCCACACAATGAACTGTGAGTTTCATGTGCAAAAAAACCCATTCATTTGCATTTGCCTGCCAGGATAAAAATGGTCAGCCTTCCACTGTTAGATGCATAGTGAAAAAAACCTTACACTATACAGACTGTTCACTTACTGCCTAATATATCCCACTGTAACTATATAAAATCCAATGTTATTCACTTCATCTGTCAGTGGTTTTAATGTAACGGCTTAACAGTGTATCTGAGCAACATAAATTGCACCAGTGCCAGACAGCAATAACCTCAATATAGTCCAAAATTATAATCAGATCACAAAAAATAAAAAAAAAATATAAAAAAAATAAAAAAGTCCAAATTAAGAAAAAAAATTTAGCTACAGTCATGTGTTGGCAATTTTTACCATTTGCATTTTAGTTCACTACAGTTTGGATATAAAAGTGATACCTCAGCAGTCTTCTAAGCCACTTCTGTAATGGCAGAAGCTTATTTTGCAACATTGTCTGTATAGAAGATCAAATCCAGTGAAAAGTGTGTATACATATACACACACACACACACACACATTTGGCAATTAAAGTGTCACTGGCCGCATTGCCTGTTTGCAGTCATACACACACGTGGGGTAAAATGCTAATTAAGGGGCTATCACCAGTAGAAAGTCTTGACATGCAGCACTTTGTCCAGGAAAAAACACGCTATGCCTTGGTGCATTTGGCTCATATTCAATTAACACTTCGTAGACTATTGGTGAGACCATTTGTAACAGGCTTATTCATTTAATTCCAAACTGAAGCAAATTAAAGATGAGGCTTAATAAAAAAAAAATAAAAAAAACCCAACTGTGACTGAAGTGGAGTTGGAGAACCTTTCCATTTCTGCCAACATATTGAAATGTTAATACACTACAATTCAGAGTTTAGTGAATAACGCTGTACCTCATATGCAAAATGATAACGGGTAAGTTCTGGACCGGAACAAGTGTGTATCTTAAGTGCTAAATGCAGAAATTAATATTATACTGCTTTAAATCTGCTTATGTCACCTCAATAACAGCAGCATTCCAAAACAAAAAACTAGAATCTCAAAAGCAGACAATGGGTCATTTCGAATCCCACAATTACAATTTCCATGATCTACATAGAAATATTGTATATCCCACAGGATATTTAGGATGATATGTATAACAACGTTTTAAAAAATAGAGCAAACAGTTGGAACAAACCATTGGTGTCCATGGTGATTGTTAGAACTTTGTCCCAGAAATTGTATTATGCATGATCCCCATTCTCCTATATCCTATGTTTATGTACAGATGGTAGAAATCTGATTCAAATACTTAATACATTACAGGCTGACAGAAACACCATAATTCTCCGGACACCATATAACTTCATGCAACGGGCAACGTAAGAAAACACACACACACACACACACACACACACACACACACACACACACACACACACACACACACCACTGCCCTGCGGTAGGTAGAATTCATATGCTGCAGGGTTGATTAATTAATTACTGGATTTCCCGCCTCAACGTTTACTTTTAGTCCATTTGAATACAGTCGATCTGGCAACCTTAGAAGAACCATGTGCAAGCAGACACTCCATATACAACATTAGTCTTATAGTGCAAAAAACAACTGCTGTGCTCTCCTTTTTGCTATGACTAATGCTCACTGCCCGTCTGGTTGCTATTTACCTGATACAAATGTATCAGTGTGAGGATAGATCCTTTAAACTACAGCACACACACACACAATGTGCTGTAGATCCTTTAAGCTATGTGCTGTATAATGTTATCAGAGTGTATATATGTATGTATATATACACACATACACACAGGTTGCAGATCCTATATACCAAGTGTCATATAAGGTTATTATGAATCAATGCGGTTTGTACACGCTGCTGGGGGCGCTGGGCTTTGTGAAAAGGCAAGCCTAGACAGGAAACATACAATATATCCTAGGGAGACATTATCTACAGCACATGGATTTTAACTATGCGAGTGTCAGATTGTTTTCTCTGTTAGTGGCATGAATCTAAAAAGGCCATGTTTGAAGTTACCTGGGTAGCTGTTGTGTCTGGTGAATTCTCTGCAGCAATAGTATGAATCTGCAACTTGTATATATCCACACACACACTGACACATTATAATAATATGGTATAGAACGCCGAGAAGGCTCAGCAGCCTGTATATATCCACACACACACACTGACACATTATAATAATATGGTATAGAACGCCGAGAAGGCTCAGCAGCCTGTATATATCCCCACACACTGACACATTATAATATGGTATAGAACGCCGAGAAGGAACAGCAGTCTGTATATATCCCCTAATAATAATAATAATAATAATAATAATAATAATAATAATAATAATAATGTATAGAACGCAGAGAAGGCTCAGCAGCCTGTATATATCCACACACACTGACATATTATAATAATATGGTATAGACCGCTGAGAAGGCTCAGCAGCCTGTATATATCCACACACACTGACATATTATAATAATATGGTATAGACCGCCGAGAAGGAACAGCAGTCTGTATATATCCCCACACACTCACTCAATAATAATAATAATAATAATAATAATAATAATAATAATAATATTATGGTATAGAACGCAGAGAAGGCTCAGCAGCCTGTATATATCCACACACACACCGACACATAATAATAATAATAATATAGAACGCCGAGAAGGCTCAGCAGCCTGTATATATCCACACACACACACACACACACACACACTGACACATTATAATAATATGGTATAGAACGCCGAGAAGGCTCAGCAGCCTGTATATATCCACACACACTGACATATTATAATAAGATATAGAACGCCGAGAAGGCTCAGCAGTCTGTATATATCCCCACACTGACACTTTATAATATGGTATAGAACGCCGAGAAGGCTCAGCAGCCTGTATATATCCACACACACACACACAGACACATTATAATAATAATATGGTATAGAACGCAGAGAAGGCTCAGCAGCCTGTATATATCCACACACACACACACACACACACACACTGACACATTATAATAATATGGTATAGAACGCCGAGAAGGCTCAGCAGCCTGTATATATCCACACACACTGACACATTATAATAATATGGTATAGAACGCCGAAAAGGCTCAGCAGTCTGTATATATCCCCACACTGACACATTATAATATGGTATAGAACGCCGAAAAGGCTCAGCAGTCTGTATATATCCACACACTGACACATTATAATAAGATATAGCACGCCGAGAAGGCTCAGCAGCCTGTATATATCCACACACTGACACATTATAATATGATATAGAACGCCGAGAAGGAACAGCAGCCTGTACTTACCATGGATTGGGGAGATGCTGTCCTGGGGTTTGGGAGATCCTGGAAAGGTCCACTCAAACTTACTGTTGTTTTAGTCCATAAAGGAACTCTAGCAGTCTGCCTACATGTCCGGTGTATCAGATTGGAAATAGCTCTCTTCCTGAGTGGGAGGGAGGCAGCCGATTTCGACATCCAAAACCTTGTTTGCTCCGATTTATTTCCCGGCATATACTGCCTCTCTCAGCTACTCCACAGCTCTATGATGGCACATTGCCCAATCCACATAACTCCATGAATGTGGATTAACTGCTCGTGTGACTGAAATGTGCCATCTCATTCAATCTGACAATTAACTTTACATTTTAATGATGGAGCAACAGGTCTTATGCAATTATGTAATAAGGGGAACTTAACCCTTAGTTGTAATGCAGCTAAATTTGCCTAAAATAACACTATAGTGTCCCTAGTTCTTAACAGATCCCCTTTTAAGTTACCTTTTTGTTACTAGCAAGACGACCTCAGCGCTGCTCACCTCTCAGTCTTCAACAACAAGAAACCTGTGGAAGGACAACCAACACTGCTATTTTCTACCAATCTGGCCTTTATGGGAGACTGGCCAGAAGAAAGGCTCTCCTCACTGCAAGACACCCAAAAGACCACTTTTAATTTGATAAAACAACAACATCTAAAGAACTCTCAGACTGTGAGAAACAAGATTCTCTGGTCTGATGAAATGAAGTTTGAACTGTTTGGCCTCAATTCAAATAATGATGTATGGAGGAAACTCACCCCCTGTGGATTACCATATCAATCATTAAGCATGGTGGTGTTAGTATCAAGCTTTGGGAGTGGTTTTCAGCAGCAGGTGCTGGGAGACTGATCAAGGTTGTGGGAAAGCTGAACACAACAAAGTACAGAGATATCCTTAATGAAAACCTAGTCTGGCAAGCTCAGGACCTTAAACCTGGCCTAAGGATTACCATCTAACAGGACAATGACCTTAATCATACGGCCTGGACAACCCAACAGTGTCTTGGAGACATCTATATGTCCAGGGCCGGACTGGGAATTAAAAGCAGCCCTGGAAAAAAAATATTTACCAGCCCCATAATGCATCGCGCCAGCATAGTGTGCAGATACAGAGTTAGAACAGATAAATTAAAAAGTACTTCAACGTAAAAAGCGCACTCATAGGCTTCAAAATAAACAAAAGTGCAGATTTATTTTAAGCAGACGTGCCTTTGCATGTAATCAATGTTTCAGTCCAACTACCTTGACATATTAAGGAAAGCTTGTTAATGGGACTGAAATGGTGAATGTATGTAGGGCACAACTGAAAAATTTTTTATTTTGAAGTCCTGTGGGTGTGCTCTTCACTTTAAATATGTTATTGTGCTGGAGTATGCACCTAGCAACAAGACTGGGCCAATATCTGCTCATTACATATGGTACATATTAATGAAATTTCTCTGTGTATTATGCATTTATAAATGTACATTAATATGTGTAAATATAATAGAGATATAAAACTAATACACACATTAATATACATGTCATATACTAATGGCGGATCCAGAGCCTGAGCCTGAGAGGGGCACTTGTAGATTATTTAAAGAAATATTCCATGCACAATAACCACTACTCCTCTGTGTAGTGGTTATGGTGCCAGGAGCGTCGGCACCCCCTCCCAGAGTAAGTCGTCAAACCGTTTAAGAACAGTTTGACACCTTACCTGGAGTCTGCTGGGATATGGGGCTGTAGTAGGGTATAGGAGCAGTGGTGCAATGTGTGTGAAAGGTTCAGTGTGTGGGTGGGCAGTGTGTAAATGTGTATGGTGTGTGTGTGTGTGTGGGGGGGTAGTGTGTGAATGTGTATGGTGTGTGTGTGGGGCGGTGTGTGTATGGGGCTAGAGTTCACTCCTACTACTGGGACCACCAGGAAGTGGTGAGAGTGAACTCTAGCCCGTAGCTCCAGGGCTAGAGTTCACCCTCGTGAGAGCCGGAGCGTTGCCCCAGGTCCTCTCTTCCTCCCCTGCCGACTGGCTGCACGGTGCCTGTGGAACGGGGAGGGAGATCGGCCGGCAGGGGAAAGCCTTGGGGGCTTTGTGATATATACTGCCCCTATGTGTGTCTCTTTATCTCCAGCCCCTCTGTGTGCCTTTTTGTCTCCCCCAGTCACTCTGTATGTTTCTTTCTCCCCCTCACTGCTCCTCTGTGTCAATGTCTCCCCTCTCCTTCCCAGTCTCTCTCTTCCCCCTCTGCCTCTTTCTTCCCCTCCCCTTGTGTGTCTCTCTCTCATTTCTCCCTCTTTGTCTCTCTCTTCCCCCTCTGCCTCTTTCACCCCCTTTCCCTGTGTCTCTCCCTCCCCCCTTTCCCTGTGTCTCTCCCCTCCTCCCCCCTTTCCCTGTCTCTCCCCATCTCTCTCCCTCCCCCCTTTCCCTGTGTCTCTCCCCATCTCTCTCCCCCCCCCTTTCCCTGTGTCTTTCCCCCCTCCTCCCCATCTATCTCCCCCTCCTTTCCCTGTGTCTCACCCCTTCCTCCCCATCTCTCTCCCTCCCCAGTGAGCCACTGTAAATTAATGGCAGAGGGCACTTGCACTGCGGTAAAGATGGGGCTGGGCAGGAGGAGAGTGCAGTGCAATCAGTGCACTCCCCTCCTGTGGGTCACCAGTAGACTGGTGCACCTGCCCAGGATCAGAGCCGGTGCAAGGATTTTTGCCGCCCTAGACAAAATAAAATTTGCTGCCCCCCCATGTGACATCACAATGCCCCACCCATATGAACTAACGCCAGTGCTGCACACAGTGTGTGTTTACATTAAAAAGCCTGCAGGGACCAGCTATAGACACCAGAACCACTTCATTAAGCTATAGTGTCCCTTTAATGTGAGGTACATTATAGATTAGTGTCACTAATAATATACTAGATTGCCTACTTACAAGCAGATGAGGATGATGATGGGCTGCAGTTTGGCTCCACTGGTCTGGTGTAGAACAGGATCTCTGGAGGCTGTTTGCAACTGTGGTCACAAAATTCAATGTTCTGGGAGAATTGGAAGCAGCTCCATTTTTTGGGGCCCCTTACACAGCTCAAGGTCTGGGCCCCAGGGCCTGACGGTGAGTATGCCCATAAGGCCCACTCATAAGTTCCACCCACCCATGAGTTCGCTCACAGGGAGTGGAGTGTGTAGGGGATGTGTTATGTGTTATTGTAGAGGATCTAATATGTGTGCTTATGGTATGTAGTGTATAGGGTTACCAGTTTGTGCAGGTGATGTGTGTGTTTGTGTGTAGTGGAAGCAGTGTGTATTTGTGTATAAGGGATGTATTATGTGTTTCTGGTTGTGTGTAAGGGATGCATTGTGTGAATCTGTGTTTGTATGCATAAGGGATGCAAGGTGTGTGTCTGTATGTGTGTGCATTGAGTGTAAGAGATGCATTGTGTTTCTGTGTGTATGTAAGAAAAGAAGTGTGTGTGTTTGCATGTATGTGTACGGGTTTGCATTGTCTGTTTCTGTGTATGTGTGCAAAGGATGCATTGTCTTTGTGTGTAAGGGATGCATTCAGTGGTGTATCCTGGTTTTGTGCTGCCCTAGGCAGGACAAAACTCAGGCGCCCCCCTCCCCCCACGCCACCCCCGCCCCACCTTCTAAATACACACACACAGTCAGACACAAACACACACACAGTCAGACACACACACATACACAAACACACACACAAACAGTCAGACAAACACACACACAGTCACACACACAGTCAGAGACAAACACACACACACACAAACACAGTCAGATACACACAGACACAAACACACACACAGTCAGACACAGACACATACACAAACAGACACACTCACAAACACACAAACACAGTCAGACACAAACACACACACATACACAAACAGTCAGACACACAGTCAGACACAAACACACACTCACAAACACAGTCAGCTACAAACACACACACACTCACAAACACAGTCAGACACAAACACACACACAGACACATACACAGACCCATACACAGACACAAACACAGTCAGACAAACACACACACACACACTCACAAACACAGTCAGATACACACAGAGTCAGACACAAACACACACACAGTCAGACACAAACACACATACACAAACAGTCAGACACAAACACACACACTCACAAACACAGTCAGACACAAACACACACACTCACAAACACAGTCAGATACAAACACACACACACTCACAAACACAGTCAGACACACACAGAGTCAGACACAAACACACACACAGTCAGACACATACACAGACACAAACACAGTCAGACAAACACACACACAGTCACACACACAGTCAGATACAAACACACACACACACATTAACTTTTTTTTTATTTAAATCCCCCCTCCCAACCTCCTTACCTTTGGGAGTGCTGGGGGGGAAGGTCTCTCTCTCCCTGGTGGTCCAGTGGCTGCAGGTCGGGCGGCTGGCGTGGGAGCACTTCTTCTGAGCTGACTGCTCAGCTCCCTCGCACGCCGGCTGCAGAGTGAGGCTGGGAGCCGGAATATGACATCATCTTCCGGCTGCCAGCCTCACTCTGCGGCACGCGAGGGAGCTGAGCAGTCAGCTCAGGGGAAGTGCTCCCTCGCCAGCCGCCCGCCTGCCAGCGCCGCCCGCCCGCCCGCTCGGGATGTCAGTTAGCCGCAAGGCTAACTAGGCATTTGCCCTGGGCATTTGAAATGCGTTTTACGCCCCTGAAAAATGCAGCCCAAGGCAAATGCCCTTGTTTGCCTGCATACGACTAATCGTCCTATAGATGCATTGTGTGTTTCTCTGTAATGTGTAATGGAATACATTGTGTGTTTTCTACTCTGTGTGTGTGTAGGGAAGCATGTTGTGTTTCTGTGTATGTATATAGGAGTCATTGACCAGTATTATTATTATTAACGTAATGTAAGAGCTCCCTGTCTTGTCCCCTGTCCTATAGAGCTGTCCGTTCTGTCCCTTAGACCTCTCCCCCACCCTCCCCTCCCTGTGCTCTTCTCATCCCCCCCTCCACCCTCCCTGTGTTCTTCTCACTCCCTCCCTCCATGTGTTCTCCTAACCCCCTGTGTTCTTCTCACCTTCCACACCTGTGTTCTCATCATATCCCCTTCTCCTCTCCCCCCTTCCCTGTGTTCTTCTTACCCCCTCTCCTCCCTGTGTTCTCCTCACCACCCACCCTCCCTGTGTTCTTCTCAG